AAAAAACCGTCGTCTATTGTACGTAAAGATGACGCTTTTTATAAAAAACCGTCGTCTATTGTACTTTAAGATGACGCTTTTTATAAAAAAACCGTCGTGTATTGTACGTAAAGATGACGCTTTTTATAAAAATCCGTCGTCTATTGTACATAAAGATAACGTTTTTTTTTATAAAAAACCGTCGTCTATTGTATGTAAAGATGACGGTTTTTAAAAAAAATCGTCGTTGTTTAGAGGTAAAGATCGTTAATTATAGGAGGAAAGACGACTGTTTTTAATAAAACCGTCGTGGATTATACGTAAAGATGACGATTTTTTTTATGAAAACCGTCGTGGATTGTTTATAAAGACGTCATCTTTACATACAATAGACGACGGTTTTTTATAAAAAGCGTCATCTTAACGTATAATAGACGACGGTTTTATAAAAACCGTCATCTTTACTAATAAACAACGACGGTGAAAAGCCGTCGTAATTTGAAACCCAAATAGACGGCAGTCGATTTCACGACGGGGCGAAAACCTTTTACACGACGGTGGTTTCCCGTCGTCTATTTCGATTTTTGTAGTAGTGTTGTCAGATAATAATAGTGGTAGATGGATGTAGGTCTCATTAGTTATGGCTTCAGATAAAAAATCTAATCTCTTCAGATTACATCTTACAATAACCATTGGATCGAATTACCTCATATGAATCTCATCCGTATATTTCTTATCTCTTAAACCATCACATCCTCTATAAATGAACAACCATCTTATTTTCATAACACACCACTTCCCAACTCTTGTATTCTCAATATTCATTCTTCTACCACCGCACTAGAATGGCCAACAATGGATATGATAGCTCTTCTAGTGATGAGACAGGTGCCAACATAATATTTTTGGAAATGTTCGAAAACTACCAAAGGAAAAAAGCAGCGAAGAAGGAGAAGACCTCGATGGTTGTCCATGGGGGTACATCATCACAACGACGTACTATACCAAGAGATCGAGTAAGTGCCCATGAAAACCTTTTTCAAAATTACTTCTCTAACCATCCGTTGTATCCCCCTTCAAATTTTCGTAATAGATTTCGCATGAGGCGTGAGTTGTTTAATCGAATAATGGAACAAATTGTCCCTTTCGACGATTACTTCAAACAAAAGCCTGATACCACTGGAAAGCTTGGTTTCTCACCACAAGTGAAGATGACAGCCGCCATGCGTATGCTTGCATATGGTACAGCAGCTGACCTCAATGATGATTACTTGAAGATAGCAGACACCACATCTTTTGAAGCTTGCAAGAGATTCTGTCATGCAGTCAACAACTTATACGGAGCTGAATATCTTCGTAAACCAACGAGGGCGGACCTACAAAAACTGCTCCAAAAAGCTGAGGAACGGGGGTTTCCTGGCATGCTAGGAAGTCTTGACTGCATGCATTGGAATATAGCCGTTGGACAAGAAGTTGCCCGTTTATTGCCGTTGGAATAGAGCTGTTGCATTGGGAGTGGAATTTTGGTTCATGCATGTTGACTGTTGGAATAGAGCTGTTGAAAACAGCTTTGCAATTTTGATTTATGTCATGCATGTTGACAATGTTGATTGTTGGAATAGAGCCGTTGAAAACAGCTTTGGAATTTCGAAATTTTTTTTGTTCATGTCATGCATGTTGACTATGTTGATTGTTGGAATTTGACTGTTGGAATAGAGCTGTTGAAAACAGCTTTGCAATTTGGGTTCATGCATGCGGGCCAGCATGCAAATGAACAGCCAACTTTTTGGCAAGTTGATCATGTACAGTAGCAAGCAAGTGGGAAATGTGGGCTGCAGCCTTTTTATGTAGTGGGTCCCACTCGGTTTCAAGGGCTTCAACCAAATTCACACATTTGAGTACTATTCCAGTTGGGCTTTAAGTTTTTGAGTCCCAAATTTGCACAATTGGGGATGCATTTTTAAACAAAATTTGTATAAATAGTTGAGCCCCATTTAGAGCCCCCATTGAGGATGGCCTTACGGCATGAATTCAACAAAGAAAAAGTAATTGTTACGGCATGAAAAGTTTCCAAAGGCCTAAGATGGATAATTGAAGTTGTTTGAATTGCAATTTGCATTCCTGTTGTCAGATAGGTGTAGGGCCCACTGTTAGATAGCTGTGTCTTTCATTCAGGTATTGAAAATTGATGTGAAGCATACGTCTATTCAGCTAATTGGAAAACTTTGCACTAAGTCTTTGATATTTGGTTGTGTTTCTATGCTCATTTAATTTCTACGTGTTAATTTTGATAGTCAAGTTGTCCAATTTTGATAGTACATTACCAACAAGTTAGTGGACACCGCTTTGTCCGACTTTGACTTTATATTAAGGCAGTTGACTTTAACTTTATATAAAGGCATTTGCAGTTTTGTATTTATTCTGAGAATTGTGCATCCTAACAATGAAAATAAGAATTTAGTCCTTTAGTCCAACCTGTGAATGAACTTTCAGAGAAAATTCATAAACCAAAAAAAGAAGGTACCAACTTTTCTTTGTAGGAAATGATGGAACAACTTTAACGTTATGACTTGCACATAAAATGTTTATCACTTTAGCATGTGCAAGAGTTTTTATTTTTTATTTTTTATTTTTTTTATCCACAATGTGCAAGATGTTTTGTGCCGTTTCCCACGGGGCATCAACTATCATATTAACATGCTAGAGCTTCTAGTGCCTTTCATTCATTAGCGACCAAATTCCTAAACATGCCCTTCTCCCTGAGTTATGTGAATATCAATAAAACACACAAAAGATTATAATACTAACTTTGAAGAAGCATGCGTGGAAAAAGAAACACTACTCTCAGGAAACAATGGATGTACTGGAAATGCATTCTTATATTTGCCTCTTTATATCCAATTCAACAATTTTCTTTTACAAAAACCAATTAAAAGATTAAACCAAATATTTAAAATCAGAAATTAAAAATTGAGAACCTCATCACTTTTATGCATTTAGAGGTTCAGTTATTCTGGATAGCCAGTGTTGGTTCGTATTATTTCTTGAAGTTTGGCTAGCTTAAAAATGGTCCGGATTAGGGAGGAGAAGCAAGAGGCAACAGGTCGTTGGTTCCTGAACCGACCGGTCGCATAAATCCTTCGAGCAACCGTCGCAAGTGCTAGAGCGAGTTCAAGTCTCTACAAAGAAGCGACCGGTCGCCGCATGTTTTCCAGTTCGGCGTGTTTTGGAGTTTTTTGTAGTCTCTTTGGGCTATGTTAAGTCTTCTATTCCTACTAGGTTTGTACTTAAGTCTAATGAACTATAAATATGCACTTTAGGGCTAGCTTTTCATAAAGTGCGAAAACTAAGGCATCATATTGGGTTTGAGCTCAGGGTGAGAGAAAAGATAGCTATGGTTTGATAGAGAGCAAAGGGGGTTCTTCATTGTAACCAAAGATGTTGTTTCTTACTAGTGAATTTCTCGAGGATCACCAAAGAGCAAGTGGGCACAAAGTCGAACCTCTATAAAATCTTATGTTCTATGGGTGCATGTTTAATCTTTGGTTCGTACGTGTGATTTATCTTTGCATGACTCATGTGTGGTAGTTGCATAGTCCATCAACGACAAGCGCTCTTATAACTTTAAGAGCGGCAGTGTGTTGATGATGACAGGCGATAATGAGGGAGGAGAAAGCTCCCAAATGATGACACCACAAGTGGCGAGTGTGAAGGTCGAGTTGAAGCCATTCACCAACAATGAGAACTTCATGTTTTGACAACGAAGGATGAGGCACGTCCTTAAGCAGCAAGGTCTCAGCATAGTCTTAGCAAACAAGGAATAGAAGCTAAAAACAATGACGTATGTTGAGTGGGAAGACCTAGACGAGCTTGCTAGAGGATCCATCGAACAATATCTTAGTGAAGAAAGTGTTGTGTAATGCGATGGAAGATGCAGTGAAGCTTACATGGCAGAAACTTGAGGAGATGTTTGCGTCAATATATTTGTCAAACAAGCTCTTCTTGAAGGAGAAGCTTCACTCTTTAAAGATGGAGAAAGGCGCAAACATGATGGAGCATCTTAGCGCCTTTAATAGGTGTATTGTAAACTTTCAGAGGTTGGATGACGTTTATAAGTTGGAAGACAAGGCCGTGATGTTGTTGACATCCCTGTCTCTGCACGACGCTTATGTTCAGTAAGGAAACTCTGAAGTATGAAAAGGTGATGCAAGACATGTTGACGCATCGTACGATAGTTCAACAAATTGGAGATGTCTCTCAAGGTGATGGCCTTGTAGCAAAGTTTGGAGAGAGAGGTCGATCAAGTAAGCGCGAAGGCAAGAAGAGTAATAAGGGAAGATCAAAATCCATGGTGAAAGACAGTTGTTTTGAATATGGGTCAAAATATCATTGGAATAGGAATTGTCCTACATAGAAAAAGAAGAGAAAACAAAAGGAAGAAGCCGGGGTCGCGGAGGATAGCGACAATGAGCTTTTATTTACTGATATATAGCATTGTTAATACTGATGCACATGCTATTTCATCCAGGGTTTCTACTTCTGACTGGATTTTGGATTTCAGGTACTCATATTATATGTGTTCAAACAAATCTTGGTTTGACACGTATGAGGTGGATAATGGCGGTGAAATTCTGATGGAGGGCCGCTCGGTATGTAGAGTTGAAGCCACATGTACTATCAATGTGAAGATGCATGACGACATGGTTAGGACATTGAGTATGGTTAAGTACATACCAAAGTTGAAGAAGAATATGGTCTCCCTCGATACTTTTAACAAGAATGGCTATTCTTACAATGCCATGGAAGGGAAACTCATAGTCTCAAAGGGTTCACTTGTGATTATGAAGGGATAGATTACCTAACTGCTTGTATCAACTATATGGTGCAATGGTGACTAGTGAAGCAAATATATCTACCAACAAGGTACTTAGAGGATGAGACTCAACTTTGGCATTTGAGGCTAGGGCATATGAGTGAGTGAGCCATGCAAGAGTTGCACAAACGGAAGCTTATGAATGGAGTGCACAGTTGCAAACTTGAGCCATGCAATATTGTCTTATGGGGAAGCTGTCGAAGGTCACATTCGAGTAGCAAGATAAAGAGAATAGTAGCACGAGAGTGCTTGATTATATCCACTCGGATGTGTAGTGACCCATGCCGATCAAGTCATTGGGTATAGCTCACTACTACGTTACGTTCTTGGATGATTTTTCTAGGAAGGTATGGGTCATTTAAATGAAGGAGAAATCCGAGATCTACACCAAATTCAAGGAGTAGAAGGTGGAAATATAAAACCTTACGGGAAGAAAGATCAAGATCCTAAAGAGTGACAATGGAGGAGAATATAAAGATAGCAAATTTCTTGAGTTTTGGAAGAGCGAGAGTGTCAAGAAGAATCTTAACGTGAAGAAGACGCCCCAACAAAATGGAGATATGGAGAGGATGAATGAACTCTCATGGAGCATGAGAAGTGCATGAGGATTCATGTCGGCTTGCCCAAGGAATTTTTGGGCGAAGGTGGTTAACCGCGCTTTGTATTTGGTTAACTGGTCGCCATCGAAGTATCTTGATTTCAATTATGTAGAAGAGGTATGGTCTAATAAATCCATTGAGTATACTAATATATAAGTATTTGGATACAATGTCTATGCTTTCATACCTAGTGATTAGAGAACCAAATTGAAACCTAAGTCTCTTGGGTGCATATTCCTCAGCTTTAAGAGTAGGGTGAAGGGTTACAAACTATGGGATCCAGTGAATTGGAAGAAAATGAGAAGACCATGCCTATGATCAATGTCAAGAAACTGAAGGCAATGAAGGATGTTGTTAGAGTAAAGACAACTGTTACAATTCCATCATGGAGGGTGTTTAGAGGTTACTTCACAAGTGCAGTCGATTGAAAATGTTCATAAGGTGGTGAAGTCTGACACTAAGGTGGAGGAAGTTGGGCAACAACAATAAACTCAAGAAGAAGAAGAAAAAGAAGAAGAAGAGGCTTAGAATTAGGTGGACCCGCCATCATTAGCTAGATCTATGCCCAAGAGAACCATGAAAGCACATCAATGATTTGGATGGGAGACGGATGCAATTCACTATGCTTTAAACATGAGTGAATGGATCCAACCATCTTCCAAGAAGTAGTTGAGAGTTTTGAGTGGGAAAGTTATATAGGTGCTACAATGGATGAGATGGAATCTCTACACTAGAACTTTTTTTAGGAGTTGGTTCATAAACCTAAAGATCGAAATGTGATAGGCTGAAAGTGGATGTTTAGGTAAAGGTAGGGATACATGAAAAAGAGCCAGCTAGATTCGAAGCGCTTCTAGTGGCCAATGGGAACTTACAAAAGGAAAGAGTTGATTATGATGAGATATTCTCCCCGGTTGTGAAGCATACTTCTATACGGTTGTTACTCTCCATAGTCGCACAATGAGATATAGAGGTGGAGCAAGTGGATGTGAAGACATCGTTCCTTCATGGAGACTTTGAGGAAAACATC